TATCATGCATTTATGGACATTGTGTTGTACATTACATGCTTAACTTGTACATTTTATTAAACTTATTGATCAATTTGACAAGCATGAATATTCAGTCAAGAATGCATAAATATCGTGCTATGCATCTATAGATATTGTGATATATATTATTTGCATAACTTATATATTTTATTAAACATATTGATCAATTAACACACATGGACATTGAATTAAAAATTCATAAATATTGTGCTGAGAATGCATGAACATCATGTTGCGCACTTATGAACCTTGTGTTGTACATGTTCTATGTGACTTATACATTTTAATTAATTTACAAATTAAATGGATACACATTGACATTATGTTGTTCTTCGTGGATGAGGGTTTTAGGCAAGTTCTAAGCTTGCAAATCATATAAGAAAAAAATTGTACTTTCACTCTTAAAAAAATTACAACAAAAGCCCTTAAATTTGTAATGCATTATCATAATTTGTTAGGCTTAAAGTGCAATTTTTTATCCTTTTAAGGCTTGCAGTGTGATTCTCCCTAATGATTGTGTTCTTCATAAATTTTTTTACAAAATAAGTTATAAATATTAATTTAAATGATTACAAATAAATTTTTTTATTATGATTTAAAAAGTATATTTAATATTTAAATATTTATTTATAATTAAAATTTTTGAATCTGACTCAATATTTTTAATTTATTTTTTAAACACTTTGTTGAAGATTTTGGGCCTAGCTATTAATTGCACCCGTTTCATAAACCACAGCAGCTTTTAGCTCTTTATGCATCTACACGTGACTCAAAAGTAAGCTCTACTATTCTCACCCAGTAAACAGCACGCCTTCTTAGAGTTACTGTAGGTACATGAGAGATTCTGTATTCCATGATAATAATAATGATAATGATGATGATAACAATTGGAGTGTCATACAATTGCATACATTGCAATGATACTTATGATCGATCACATTATTTGTAACTTTCGAGCAACATATTTTTTCATGGGTTTTGTAGATGAATTGATACTGCCAATATCAATAACATTGATGTAAATAAATTAATATTGCCATTAATAATAAGGTATAGATGTTTGCTTTGCTTTTAATTAGTATTATTTTTTTATTTAATTTGAAAATACTCATAGATAATGACTGGAATCTTGAATTTGACTTTGTGGAAAGCGGTCGTTAATTTTAAAGTTGAAGTTGTTAATAAATTAAAATAAAAGTTGTTAATTTTTTATAATATATTTGTTATTTAATTCTATGTTACTCATGGATAATAACTCAAATCTTGAAAATTGACTTAATTTGTAGAGAGCAGTTGTTAATTTAGAACTTGCAGTTATTAATAGTAACTAAGAGCAAAGCTATTGTTTAATACTCCCTCCATCTTATATTATAAGACACTTTTAGATAAAATTTTACATACTAACAAGCTTCATTAAATACACTTAACAATTTTATCTTTTCAAAATAAAAATATAAACTTTTAAAAATATTCATCATTTAATACATTAAAAAGAGAATGGATAAAAATTAATTATAGAGAGAAAAAGGGTAATATTAAAATTGGTGTATTTAATAAAATTTTAACCTACTCAAAGTGTCTTATATTTTGAGATGAATAAATTTCTTTAAAAGTGTCCTACAATTTGAGACAGTGAGAGTAGTATTGTATACTCCCTTTATTAAAAATATGAGATATTTTTAGTTAAGTCTTATTTTCAATAAAGTAGTTGACTATCTCTAAACTAATATTATCTTTCTATATTTACGTGTATGAAACATGATGTTCCATTTAAAAATAAATATAAAATAATTTGTTTATTAAATATTTTTTTTAAAAATATATTAATTATATCTTAAAATATTAAAAATATTTTATATTTTTTAACAAATGGAGCATTTGTTATTTTTTTGATAAAAAATTAAAATTAAAAGAAAGAAATTACACAATGTTTACCGTAACAAAGAGACAATAAAAGCCTAGTATCCTCCCATAACCATATAAGATGGTAAGGAAGAGAGATAAAACCCAAAATAAAGAGTTTATGAGATAGAATGAGAGGATAAAGTAGTGGATACGTAATTATCTCTGGAGTGTGGATAAAATGAAGCGCCCGCCGTAATTCTTGTTATTGAAACTGCAATTTTCCCGCCCCAAATTAATGATTAATGATTTATAATATTAAAAATGTTTTATAATATTAAATGAAAGAGTATACTTTAATTTATTTTGTAATATTAAAAAACATCAAGTGGCTCAATGGTTGAACAATTTATTTGACAAATCAAAAAAAAAATTAAAGAGGATCAGTTTATTTTATATTATAGTGTATTTTTTCCGTTAAAAAATATAAGGCATTTTTATTTTTGAGATATAATTATTATCTTTTTTTTAAAATACTTTTATTGATAATAACCTTATATTCATTGTAGGATGTTTAATAAAAGTAAATATAAATAGATAAAATTAATTAAAAATAAGTAATTATTTTATTAAAAAATAAAATTTAATTAAGAATACGGAATGAGAGAGCATTGTTGATGACTTTATATTTCATTTTTTTGGGAATTCTCATTTTGATGGGTTTTTCTGATGTATCGGATGAGCGTTCCGCGTGTCCGTGACAGTGAGCGGGAAGGAGAAGGACAACATTATCCTAACTGAATGGAAGCGACCATCCTTTGTAGAGGCGTGTTGTAGAGGCGTGTTCACCCAAACACACCATGTTTCATGAAGCCATTGGCTGATGGATCAAAGCAGCGAGGGCCGCTTGCCAATCAGGAACCGTCACGATTCACGTGCCCACTTTCCTTTCGCGTTCATTACATGTCTGGCCATCCTTTTTCTTTCTTTCTTTGTCAATATTAACAGTACACTCTCTCCTGTTATTTATTATTTTATTTTTATAAGTAAAATCATATATTTTAATAAATATTTATTATAATTTTAAATTATTTTTTATAAAATTCCTAATTTTCATTCATGACAAATAATTCATGCAAACTTGTTTTCATTAAATACATAGGCATTTTAGTTTAGTTTTTTATTTTTAAATATAATTATTGTTGTCAACCAATTTTTTTAAATTGTGCGATGGAATTGTTTTCTCTTATTTATATATATATATATATAGAAATGAAGGAAGTACAGTACAATTAATGATAACCTTGAGCTTCAATTTTTTTTAAATAGGTGAGTTAAATTTCAATAGCTCATCAAGATTATAATGTGCTTTCAAATTTAAAAAAAAATGCTTATAGATATATTTGTAAATTATCCACTAACAAGTTCCTTATAGTGAGATTTAATCTCATAATTTTATGAGTTATAGATTGAATTCTTATTGGGCCAACCTTTATTGGCAACTTCATCTATTTTTTAAGTATAAGATGAGGATATTTTCCTTCGATAGACAGCACTGGTCTCCCTCAACATATTAAAAAATAAAAAAATATAATTTTAGATCCTTATACTTTATTCGTATTTTATTATAGGTTCTTGCAACTCTTTTCAATATTTTAGGTTCTTATATTTTTATTTTTTGATGTTTTAGGTCCTTTATTGAAAAACAAAAGTGTATGAATTTAGAATAATGAAAAAAGTGAAGGAATTTATATAAAATACAACAAAGTGTAAGAGTTAAAAATTATGTTTTTCAAAAAAATAAAATGTATATCTTTACTAAAATAAGTATAAAGAATTAAATATATGGATTGAAATATTCACATATTTAATAAAATTAAATTAAATTGGTAAAATAATTCAGAAGCTTAATATCTTATATTGTATTATTTTTATATCAATGAACACAATCAAATTTATAGTAATTTTTTAAAATTAATATCAACATAATCAATCAACATAAAATTTTATAAATAATGAATTATATGATTATTTTATTATATTTTGATGATATTAAAAAATTCTATATAATTTTCTGGCGTCAAAGATTAGATTTGGTAAAAAGAGATCTTGAAAGGGACTTGAGTTTAGTATATTTCTCGTAGTATTAGACCATGGTGAGGTGGGTGTCTATAATTACAAAAGAAGATTTTTGGCCAACATTATGATAAAAGAAGTTTACATTATATTTTGAAGAGATTCGATTAAAGCGTCATCTCATTATTTCGGCCCAGAATCTGTTGCCAAGGCTGAATCACGCTCTCAGAGCGTGCATTGACGCGCGTTCGGATCCACATTTCCCTCCCCTCTTTACACGTTTCCCACATACTCGTTCGAAAATCTCCCGATTATATATCACCTTAACACGATTCACCACCTACCCCAATCATTCGCCTCCATTAATCTGTTCTTCAAATTCTCTCCCATTCATCTGACGATCCGGTGCTGCTCGCCGAGTCTAGTGACTGTTTGGGTTTACTCTCCAGTGACCGGAAAATGGTGGAGACGCCGGCGCTTCAGAATGACGAGGAGCTATCTTTGCTGGGACCGAGCAACAATGGTGATCAGTCCTGGCGGTTGAACTTTGACGGTTTCCAGTTATCTTCGGAGCACAAGGAGAAGAAGCCTCCACGTAGCCTCCACGACTGCCTTGGTGTTTTGGGTAAGCAGAATATGTCCTCCCCGCTATATCTGTCTCATTCTACTTTCGTCAAGTTATAGCTACCAATAACATCTTTTCATAATTTTAGGGGGCGGTTTCTTTATAATTAATGGGGAATCTGCAGATTGCTAGTCACCTTTTAACCAACGGCTGTAGTTGATTAGCAGCTGTGAAATTGTGATCATTTTGTATTCTTTTTCTTTCAATGCGGAATTGAGAGATCATTCCAACCTTAGGCTTTTCTGCTCGTGTTGCTTGTTCTCTATACTGCTAGCCTGCCTTTTTCTCTATTATTCTTAATAGCTTCCACTGGGCTAAAGGAGGTCTGTCTTCATTGTTCTAAGTAATTTGTATTTGGCAAGAGGGTAGGCATATATTTTGGATGTCCGTAAATTTTGAGCTGCGCTGTTTTAATATGTGTATGTAAACTGGCTAGCGTGGTGTGTGGATGAAGTGTGATATTTCATGCGTACGTCCTGGACATGTTGCTCTTTCTGTGTTTTGAATGATAGAAGTCGAGATGACTGGCTGCTAGACTTCTGGGTTTTACATGCTCTAGGGGAGAAATGCTTTGGGTTGTAAATTAGTGCCTTTTGGGCTAAGTGGCCTTTTATATTTGAGTTTCCATGTCTACTTTGGATTAGTTACATAGATAGACTTGGCGCATGCAGTTCTTGGCTGATCGGCTGTTTAGTTTAGTTTCATAACTTCACTTGAAGTTGAACTCACAAAAAGGTGTGATCAAATGTTTGGTCATCACTCTGTCTGTTGTTATCTCACCTTTACGTGTTTTCAAATTTCTGGACTGTTTTATTTTTTGTTTTGGGCCACACTGTCAAACTCTATCACCCAATAAAACTTGAGGCTTGTGATGCATTCATGAATCTGGGCTTCTCAGAAGTTGCAAGCACAAGTTATCAACTTATATTTGACCTTCCCCCTCAATAAATGTGCAGGTGTTGAGTTTTCCAGAAGTTTAGTCTTCCTTCCCCACGTTCGTGTGGGGGGTTGGGGATGATATGAAATGTATTGCGTGCGTTATGTGTTGCTATAGGAATATTCTTTTAGTGGTGGTAATATTTCCATGAAACAAATGATTTATTTGTCTTTTTTTTTTTGGGTGTATTGAATGATTCAACGTCTTAAATTTTGCTTCTCATGCTTCAGGTTCAGGTCCAGGACCAGAAGATAATGTAGCTGAGTACTATCAGCATCAGGTCGAAGTTCTAGAGGGGTTTAACGAAATGGATGCCTTAGCAGAGCGTGGGTTTATTCCTGGAATGTCAAAGGTTTCTTTTTCATCATGCCCTGAATCATCATTGGGTTTTAGATTGATAAATGATAATCAAATCACTTTACTAAACATCCTTTGTTCTCTACAGGAGGACCAAGAACATTTGGCAAGAAGTGAGACGTTTGCCATAAGATTATCCAATATAGCAAACATGGTTCTTTTTGCTGCCAAAGTTTTAGCATGCATCAAAAGTGGGTCTCTAGCCATCATTGCATCCACCTTGGATTCACTTCTCGACTTACTTTCTGGATTCATTCTCTGGTTCACTGCATTTTCCATGCAAACACCTAACCCATATCAGTACCCTATTGGAAAGAAGCGGATGCAACCATTGGTTAGTCCCCTTAAGCATTTCCTCTTATTTTATTTACTTCTTTTATACTTTTATTTGAAGGTTCGTCTTTCTGTGCCAATCAATTTCATGCAACCTTGCGAATTCTGAATGACATTTTTACATTCTGAAGGGCTTTGTTACTTTCATAATTCACATATTTCAAGGTTATTTGGTCAGAAACTTTTTTATTTCCTTCTTGCATTAGGTTACACAATACAAGCATAACCTTGGATAATTGAGGCGTGCTATGATAGCATGATTTCTGCATTTTGTTGCCTTGACCATTATTGATTTGCTTATGATAGTTTACTAATTTTATAATTCAATCGCAGAGCGAGGTTTTATTCACATTTTTTCCACTTTCTCTTACCTCTTTATCTAATGGCTATGTATAAATTTCTTATTAGTGCAGCATATGGCATTATTTCTTCTGAGGTTCCTCTACTGCTTGTGAGAATAAACTTGTTGTTCATAAATTTTATATTGAAAGAATTGTGTCAACTTTGGATTCTCTGGTTTCTTGAATTGTTTTACTATTTGGACTCTTGATTTAAGTTTATGCATAGTGTTTGCTCATGTTGCATGTCTCAATTATCTAGTGAATTTTGATATTTTGAATGTTCATGGTAGTATGATTCATTACAGCAGTAACTCGGGGCTAACATTTTGATTTCAAAATTTGCGCTCCAGGGAATTCTTGTTTTTGCGTCTGTCATGGCAACTTTGGGACTTCAGATAATTTTGGAGTCCGTGCGTGCTCTAATGTCAGACGTGAGTTCTTACTCAAATTTAGTCAAATTTCTCACTCCCATTAGTGAACAAACATTATATGTTATTTTTTCAAGTACCTGCAACTCAATCTCTGGACGGCTCTTGCCAATGACTGTTACAGGAAAGTGAATTCAATTTGACTAGAGAGCAAGAGCAATGGGTTGTGGGAATAATGCTTTCAGGCACGCTGGTGAAATTCCTACTGATGGTTTATTGCCGCACCTTCCGTAACGAAATTGTCAAAGCTTATGCCCAGGATCACTTTTTTGATGTGATTACTAACGTGATTGGCCTTATTGCTGCACTTCTGGCTAATTATTTTGATGATTGGATAGACCCTATTGGTGCTATTGTTGTAAGTGATATCTTTCTAAATAAATGACACTGAAGTTGCCCCTAAAAGATTAATTTTTGTTGATATTTGTTTGTTGCATCACGAGCTAAAATTACTGCTTGTTATGATTTTTAAATCTGTCTTGATATGGCTGGTTGCTGATTCAGCACTTGCAACAAAGGTAATGGACCTATAGCTTTGGGGATGTGGAACCAAATTCTCATCCTGGCAACTCTACGTTTGCTATCATCCTAGATGTTTAACTGAGATTTTTTTTCAGTTCCTATTTGACCTTTCTGTATGCTAGACTGGCAGTCTTTTTTATTTGGCCAATGAATGCGGCAATGAATTGATGCTTATTTTACTGCAGTATGCCGGACAACTAGAACTTTAGCAATACATCACTGGTTATTTTGCACAATGTGATCTAAAGAAGCAAGCGACTTGATATTTTCACTTGAACGTTTTGAACATTTGACTTGCATCTGCTTATTTGTTAAATCTAATTATTCCTCTGCAGCTTGCTTTGTACACTATTCGCACGTGGTCGTTGACAGTGTTAGAAAATGTGAATTCTTTGGTTGGAAGATCAGCTGCACCGGAGTATTTGCAGAAACTCACATACCTATGCTGGAACCATCACAAGGCCATAAGGCACATTGATACAGTCCGGGCTTACACCTTTGGGTCTCATTACTTTGTTGAGGTTGATATTGTACTGCCATCTGACATGCCCTTACAAGAAGCACATGATATTGGGGAATCATTGCAAGAAAAGCTAGAGCTGTTGCCCGAGATTGAACGCGCTTTTGTTCATCTGGATTACGAGTACTCGCACAAACCTGAGCATGCTCAATCTTACTCATAGCAGCTGTAAGTTGTTTTCAGTTTGTCCTCTTTCCCCGCACAAATTATAAATTTGAGCCATTGTTAGCGTAAATGAGAATCTAAGCTAATAAATATGGTTTAAATTGCAGGAGGTGCAAGTTTTTCTGGCAAGAAGCCACACTTCCAGCGCCGTCTTTTGGATTATGGGTATGGTGCTCCTCAAAGAGGCTCCCAGATATAATGCGGGGTGTATTAGAATATGCAAATAGTACTTGTGGTTTTCGCTTAGTAAGACTTAGATCCTGAATTGTAGAAATAGAAATGCTAAAGTTACCATGTGCATCTCTGGGTTAAGGGACAAGTATGTAAAATTGTAGTGTTTTGCTGATGCAAAACCTTGTCAACCTGCTATTATGAGAGGGTCTTGACACTGAACGGCCTTTGTTATTTACTTATGTTCGTGCAGAACAAATCAATGCAGAATATGGAAATGGCTTAAACTTGTTGTTTTTGGTTTTTTTTTTTTTTCCAGATGAATCTCAAGTGTAACACGTGAATGAAAGACGGAGAGTTAGTAGTGACAGTGAAAAGTGGAGTACGGGAGTGCAAGTCAATACAGCAGACTCACAAAATTTCTTTCTGATCCCACATTGCATTAAAATTATGCATTATCTCAATCCTCAACGAGTTGATAATCCGTTTTAGAGCGCATAAAATAATAGGACCCCCAATCCGGCACATTTCCATTATTGAGATGTGTAAATTCATTCGCTAAGCTTATAGAGTTGAAATTTTCGTAACAATCGAAGTTTCAGTTTAGATATACGTTGAAGGAAATAGTAACATTCGAACTCATAAATTAACGAGGCGTTACATCGCCGCTGAACTAGTACTCTAGCCCATGCTTAAAAGAGAGAATGCATCATGTTGAACACTAGTTTAATCATAACGTTAGTGCTTGAGTTTTGGCTACAACTAAAGATATTATTTCACAATTCAAACTTTGTATGCTGAAACGAGTAGAATAGCATGTTGCAAGATAAGATATCTGCAAGTCCTAGTGGAAGCGGCTGTGGGATAAATGAACTACCACACAAACAATTTCACAAGAAAGAGGATGTCATAAATGAGTGTCAAAATTCGGGCTCTTATGTTCTATTCTCTATTTTGATATTCTAGATTAATTTTTTAAAATAATTTTTGGAAATAAAAAAAATGAAAAAATGTCTAAATTATTATCTTAAAAAATAAACATAAAATGATGAAATAAATGGTAAAAGAATTACTCCCTTGTTCAAAAATATAAAGCATTTTTAACTGAATCTTACCTTTAATAAAGTAATTATTTATTTTCAAATTAACCCTATCTTTTAATATTTATCTTTATAAACATCTTAAAATAAGTATAAAATAATTTATTCAATAGAAATATTTTTTAAAAAAATACAATGATTACACTTTAAAAATTAAAAATATCTTATATTATTTAATATCCAACCTATTAAAAAAAATACTTTATATTTTTTAAAGGAACAGGTATTTATTTCATTAATATAATTTTCTGCAATTTTTTTTAATTTTATTGGAAAAAGTAACAATATATATATATATTTTTAATTTTTTATAACACAATTTTTAACAAATAACAGGAAACATGTTTTTAAACAAAACATTTTCAATCGAAACAGGAAATGAAGAATTGGGAGTATGACAAGTCACAATCAAGAAAAGCAGACTGTAATGTCGATGAGAATGCTGGGAACTGAGGAATAGGGGTTGGGTCGGGAGGCCCGCACGAGCGAGTTCTGCGAAGTAAGCAGCGTCAACGCTCGGCCAGCCTATAACCCCTCCATAAATTCTTGCGCCATCATAAATCAGCGCTGCGACCGGCTCCCACCGCTCGCTTTGTTTTCCTTACTCATTAGTTTAAGGCGTCTTTCTTCGTTTCCCCCTCCCTCTTATTTATATCTACTTCTGTCCCACCCACTTCTATATCTTCTCGATGTGGGACTCCTTTCGACCCTCTTATCATTCCCTTTTCTCTTCTGGAATAGCAGGGCAGGCCCAGGCTTGAAGTGGTAGAAAGGTCAGAGATAAGAGCATTTAAACGGTCTACTGGAACCATAGGGATGATCTGAAAATCAAAACCCCCAAAATCCTAGGTTCCAACAGGCAACCGTATTAGAAGATTCTCTAGAATCAAAGTGAACTCCAACATCTCAGCTCCTTAATCCTAATCCAAACCCAGGACAAGACCGATCGATCTGTTGCTGGGAAAGGTGTTGACTCTCTCCCAAGCAAGATTATGTTTATCCAGAACTGAAGCATTCACCACCACATGCAGCAACATTATGTCTATCAAAAACTCAGCCATCAACATTACATTTTGTCCACCTGTTCTCACTCGCAGCAGAACTTTAAGTTGTTTATAACTGAGGGTTGCTAGTGCTGTGCATCAAGGACGTAATTCGGATGAGTATGGCAGGATCATCAGGTTTAATGAAATCACTCTGGAAAAAATGCAAATGCCTCCGTTTCCAAATAGAACCCCGATCAGATAAATCTTTTGAAGAAAATTCAGGCTGCCGTCTGGGACGTGAGATGTAAGACATGGATAATACCTCTTTTGATTGGGCCCAAGCCCATGTAGTCATCCCCTCTTTCACAACAATTACGATCGGGCCGCTCAATCACCACTCCTGTACTCCTGCTTTAAGGGTGCGAATTTGGCACTTAGCTTTTCCATGGTAACATGGAGTAAAAAGCCCACAAAACGTGTCAATCTGTAACAATTTGATTCATAATTTATAATATCATGAAGTTAAATCTTACTTCTAATATTAGAATCTTGCTAAGCAATTCTTTGAGTCTAAATGCATATTTTGATCTTGATAAATTTTTCAAATCTAATTCACTTAAACTTTTTTTTTCCTGGTATTAAAAGAAAAACGAGATAGCATAACAAGTAGAATTATTGAAGGCTATAAGAGTTTGATTCATATTTTTTTCCCCTCAACAACTGTATGCAGTGGTTGAAATTGAAAACATCTATCTTATAGATAGCTACTTCAGCTTGGGATTTAATTTGTTGGAAATGAAGAAATTGAGGAGAAACATCAAATCTTGTTGGCTCATATTGACGGTGAAAAGGAATAAGACGGAGAAAGGAAGAAACATGTGGGTGAATTTATTTTGAAAGAATAAATCAAACTGGAGTAATTCAAGCCCGGACACCACCTTCTTTCGTTCCTTCATTATTTTCAATCAACTATCACTTCGTAACCATATAATACACAGAAACCGACAGATGACAAAAACCTTCACTAATTAATCACACGGTACATTTCACCTGTTTTTTCGGGCCCTTGTATAATTCATCAAGTTGTGAAATGTGAAACACGACTTTTGCTGGCTCGCTCATTCATTTGCTTTTTAAGTCTCTGTTTTACGAAATGTGTCGTACGTTGTCACTGCTTTCTTCATTTCTCATGACATTCTTAAATCTTAATTATATGCTAAAGTTATCGGTTTTGTTAATACAGAACGAACCTTGTCACTCGTATATTAAAAAAACTAATGTCACGTTTAAATTTATCGTCAAAAATCAGCTCATTAAGTTGGATTTGATTTTCCCAAAGTACACTTTGAGATGACATTCCTAAAACAGAAAGTAATATACTATCATTAAGCTTTTATTACACTTCATCCGTTTTAAATTATAAAATATTTTTTAAAATAATTTATCATTTTAAAATATAAGATACTTTAAAATGATTAAAGTTTTATTAAATATAATTATTTTAATGTTACCCTTTCTCTCTCTATTTAATACTAATTAAATGTAAATTTAAAATTATTAAATGAAGAATATTTTTAAAAGTTTATATTTTTGTTTAGAAAAAAATAAAATTATTATATATATTTAATGAAATTTATTAGTGTATAATATTTTATTTTAAAATATTTTATAATTTAAAATGGAAGGAGTATATGCTAATATAATGAAATTATCATTCACCTCGTATTATAAATGAATTAATTATCATTATGAAGATCAGTCAGTATTTGCGTTCAATAAAATATGAAGATGACGAATATGAATCCTAATAATTGGCAGCGCAATAATTTCCTACATTCTCGACATCCATCTACCTATCTATAGCTATGCACAGTTACGTTGTCTGTAGAACTACACTACCCAACATTTTTTCCCTAACGACAAAAATAGGCTATGAATGTGAGAGCTGCAATAAACAAGTGGACATAGACTTACAATAAAATCATAAAAATTTAATTTCTATAAATGGTAAAAATTTAGGTGTACCTTAAAAAAAACTGTTATTTGTAATTTTAATATGTTTATATTTCTAATAACATGTATGGTGATAAATTTTTGAATAAAATACATTTTATTTTTTTAATATGTATGGAGGTAAGAAATTATAAAATAGAATTGGCTATTATCTAACTTTATAATATTATTTTAAAATATTTTTTACTTGTATGCTTTTTATATTAGGTTTTGATTTTTAAATAACTTAAAAAATTGTTACCTATATTTGATTATACTTCGGTTAAGCAATCCTAAAAGCAAACAAATTATTGTTTATTTATAAATTCTAATTAATCATTAATATGCATGAAGTGAAGAACAAAAAAAATATAGTTATTTATATTTTTATTTTGACTAAAGTATATATTTAATCCTTTAACTTTACACAATATTTTATTTTAATTTTTTAACTTTATAAAGTGTATTTTTAGTTCTTTAATTCTAATATTGTGAGTTTTATCTCAATAAATTTTTACATTAAATTTTTAAATATTAACAAAACATTATCAAATATTAACCTATTAAGTTTATTTTTTTTCAAAATAATAATGATTGACATAAATAATAATTATTTGAAACTAATGATATTAGAGTTAAAGGATTAAAAAGATACTTACTCCGTTAAAAAATGTAAGACATTTTTTGAGGAGTTGAATATTCAAAAATGTAAAGTATTTTTAATCTTTTGAGATATAACTATTGTCTTTTTTAAAAAATACCCTTATTGATAATAACTTAATATTTATTGTAAGGTATTTAATAGGGATAAATATAAAAAGATAAGGTTAGTTTGAAAGTAAGTAACTACTTTATTAGAGGTAAGATTCGATTAAAAATACGTTACATTTTTTAATGGAGGGAGTACTTTACAAAGTTAAAGGATTAAATTAAAACTTTATATAAAATTAAAGGATTAAAAGTATATTTTTGCCTTTCATTTTTATAATTATTTATATATAGAGACTAAAAGATTATAATTATTTTTTTCTCAAAATATCCCCACAGACATTAGCTATGAGATTAATCCCTTGATAAAATTTAAGGAACATTAAGGGGTTATTTTCTCTCAAGTGATACTCTCCATACACAACCAAATTCTGAAATGATGCTCAAGGAGTTTAAACTGTTATTATATATGCCACATCTACTTAGTAAAGATCATAGTTATTTTATTTGCTCTTGTTATAGTTATTTATTATACTGATATTTAATTTTTGTCAAATTATCAAATTAATATTTACTCAATGTTTTACCTCTATAGCTTCTATGATTTTGATTCAAGGGGAATGGACAAGGTTGGAGGTTTTTAATTAATTTTTTTTATTTACATCTTTTCTCTATTAAAATTTTATAATCTTACTTATCCATTTTTTTTAAATTAATCTCATTAAAATCTTCCTTCCCTTCCCCTCTTCTTCTCATGGCGTGCATACACGAGTGTAAAATCTAATTATCATATGTCCTATGCTAACATGGGGAATTAATCTTCAAAAATTTATATCCATAAAAGGGTGTGTTTAGTTTGAAGCAAGGGGAGGTGAGGGGAGGTGTGGGGAGGGTTTTATATTATATTGTTTGATTTTGTTGGAGGGGAGGGGTTTTTAATGATCTTTTGTTTAGTTTAAGAGAGGAGATAATAATTAATTTACTATTATATCCCTATATATTAATTTAAAATTTTTTTAATTGTTCTTTGTGGAAAATAATTTTTAATTTAAATTGCATGATTTTTTAAAAATTCACTCTCATCCTATCATATTGTCAATATGTAAATAAAAAAATTAAACAAATAATTATAATGATAACAATTTTTTATAAAAAATAAATAACTCCCTTAAATATATAATAAAATATAATGAATTGTAATTTTTTTTAAAAAAATCTAATGAGGTCAGTCAAGGTCTGGGAATGAAGTACGATCTAATATGAAAGAGAGTTTTTTTTTTAAACTATAGATATACTTAGAATATTAAAAAATAGATAAAAATAAAATAATCAAAAAAAATTAACCCCCTCCCAAAAAACTTTAATTTGGAGGGGAGCAAATATGAGGGGAGAGAAGGGGTTAGTTTGGCTCTCCTCTTTTTCAAAATTTTTTAACCAAATGCCCTCTTTTTTTCTCTCCTTTCCTTCGAAACCCCTAACCAAATACATTTTAAATCACAGTGATTGGGAATATGATTAGGATCGTGAAAACATATATGTGAAACCCCATCACAGGTTCACAACATCTTATTTTTATACACATTCATACTCTTTGCTCTGAGAGGCGCAGGCTTCTCGAAGAGAGGAGACCAGCATTATAGAGGAACGTGCCCCGATTTATATATCTCATGTAAGATGAGTTTAATGACTTCCATTAGAACCCTCCGCCACAACAAATTCTGTATCTCTAAAAAGACATGATATAATATTAACTTTATTTAAATTAAAATCTTGATTTCCATAGGTCGAGTAAAAGATATTTTTAATCAACCATATGAGCTTTCGTTATTTAAGTAACTGGTTGAAAATTTAATTCTTAATCTTTGTGTATGTAACAATTTAGTTTAGAGATGTCTACTAATCACTAGTTACTCCTTGTGGTCAGAGAAAAGACAATTTTTAATCAACCAAAATATACAATTAATTATAATTATATATGCATGTTAAATTCAATTTTAAGATATTCAGTTTTGATTTGATAAAATTTATCTGATCTTCACAGCTGACACGGTTAAACTAAGTCTAAGAACCAAGGATAAGTAATATACCTTATAATCAATACTACCAATGATGGCATCTCAAATTAGACTTAATTTGCAAATTATAATATATTCCATCCTACGTCTTGGGTTCTTACTTCATGTGTGAAAACCCGAGTGATGTGATATATTGAAGGATTTCGCAGACACGAGAATCCAATCAGTAAAAGCCATATCAGCATCTTATACAATTATCAGACATCAAATTACATATATAAGTTATCCTCCTCGTGCTTGCGTGGCACGTCGACCTTTCCTTGAAGAAGCTTATGATAACAACATCAGATAGAAATATAGAAAGACAAGACACCTTGCATGGGACCATTTACGTACGGTAGCAATAAGATTCTACCCAGGCACACACAGAAAGAGAGAGAGAGAGAGAGAAGTAGGTTGTGTTGCGTGCTTGCCTCGGATTCGAAGAAGACAAAGATGCGTAAATACGAAGTGAATAATATTAAACATAAGAGATCGAACAGAAAGAGATCGTTTTCAATGGCAGAAGGATTAGTGATCTGCATCTTTAGAGGACGAATTATCAGAGATAATCTTCTGTATCATCTGACTTGTCTCTTCTTCCGACATTCTATTGTCTTTACTCTTCGATTCTGCATATGCTTCGAAGAATTCCTTGTTTTCTTTCTCCAACTCATTCCACACTGCCATCATGAGCCCCCATTTATATGTGAATCACACACACACAAACACACACACACACACACACACATTAACAACGGCAACATATGCACGTGAATGTTACCCGACGTATGGTTCAAAAGTTAAACAACTCAGCCAACCGAATATGTTTATGTTGATTTCTAGCCCCATACTTGGATTTCGTGTTTCTCATGTGTATCAATATTCTTTCCATGTCAGCACATTCATGTGTGTGTGGTGTGTGTGTGTGTGTGTGTGTGTGTGTGTTGCGTCTAGATATCAAAGGATCGAGATTGGTCTATTTTCTTTTTTTTTTCACATTAATAAATTAAATAAGGGTTGTAATTATTGGACATTTAGCTGTCGTTAAGTTAGTTGGCGACTATTGTTACATCTGTGGTTGAATCATATGCCAAAAAGACTTAATTACCGCGATTTTTTAACCTCCTTGAGGTACCCAAATATTGCAGAGTCATCATGTATAAGCAAACACAGAGACAAACGGAGACATATATGAAAAAACTTTTCCCAAAAGTTGACATGATCAAGATTAAACATATCTGAACTTGTGCAATTGATCAAGCTTGCTATAAAGTAAAATTTATTGGCTGTATAGTAGTTATATATTCAAGCTTACAATGAGTGCTTGAGAGCATCAAGTCTTTCGAAATGACATATGTTGATGTGAAAACCGTTAATTTGTTGCAATAAAGTTATGATCTTTATGGGGAGTAGGTAGGAAGGGACAGTTAAAGTAGTTTAATTAGATACATAAGAGAAGCGAAGTAAATGCTAATATACCTGTGGAGGTTATGACAGGCTTAATATTTGCATGTTTAGAAAGGGCATCCATGCACTCCTCCTTTGTCATGTGAAAGGTCAAACACTTCTCGATCAGGTGCTGCACCTGTCTCAAGCGTCAACCAAACAACATGATCATCGCAATTAATTAATTAAGATGTTGAAATAATATAATCTTCATCATCATCTGTGTGTGGGTGTGTTGATCAAAACTGAAGCTCGCTAGCTAGTTTAACCAATAAGGGTCTTCTAACTGCTTACCATATGAATGTACGAAGCAGCAGAAGCAGAAGAAGATGAAGGAGCAGAAGGGTCTGCCATATGTGTCGATCCTCGGGGTATGTGTGTCTGTGATAGCTTTTATATATATATATATATATAGAACTGGTGGTTGGTGATCTTGGAATCAAAGGGAGTGATCTGAGAAGATGGAATTGAATGCAAGTGAAGTGAGGGCGAAGGGAATATATAACAAGTGTGACATAAGAGGGAGAGAGGCTAGCGAAGCAGACAGATACACCAGAAGGTAAAAGAGTGCAATACATACATAAAGTGGTAAGGGTGATGGAGGGGGTGGGGCCCAGAGGCCCACGTGGGAGATAAAAGATAATTGGCTGGGAGGGGATTAGAGGAGATTGTAAATGACTATTTCTTTGTCCAAATCTGTGATTACCATTAGGCACCCCCTCCACGTGACCTGTGGGGTACCCCCACCTAGAATTTCTCCTTCACGACAACCCCATTTCATCTCCTGCACATTACATGCCCCTTCTTGATGGATCCATGTGTACATCAGTATATTTCAACCCCCATTGTTATATATATTCAACAAATCAGTCCACTCACGTGTGCTAGCTAGCTAGCTAGCTAGCTTATATCACTGATCAATTCGTATGTATTCAGAACCAAAAAATAAAAAAAAATCAGTGTTGTTTTAATTAACCTCTTAGACAATGATTTGATGTTAAGTTTCACTATAGTTCCTTTAAGAGCTTGTTTATTACAGAGCCTGACAAATGGAGATATTTCCACTTAATCCACGTTTGTGTTTCCCCTCCTCTCGCTATCATCCAAATCTTGCCCATACCTTGACATGGCACGCACCCATTGGATATAGAGCAACTTGGACTAATTATATGAAAGATTCTTGCAGTAAATATGTGGTGGATTCAAACAAAATAAATATGTAAGATGATGTCTGTTCAAAAAAAAAAATATGTAAGATGATGGAGATGTTGAATTAATGTACGTATGTTCAAACAAAAATAATTCCTCTTGTATGTTAGCAAAATATTTGGATCGAAGCATTGAAAGGAGAAAACTGGAGAGAGCAATTACCTCTTTGATCTCTATTATAAAACATCTTTAACTGTTTCATAATTTTATCTGAAAAAAGAAAAAAACTTTTAATTCTACCTATATTTAAATAAAAATTTTAAATTTACATTGCATTTGCTCTCATAGTTAATGAGTTTAAATAGGAATAATATTAAAAAAAGTGATTAATATTCTACCAAATACTTTAAATTATGCTTTATAATAAGGACTAGAGAAACTAAGAAATTATATGGCTAGCCTACTCTTTAAGGTTAAATTTTTGTTTTTATACAAAGAAAGTAGATGTAAGCCATGTGAACTGAATTAATTACATGGATTTTAAAGAATAACCTATATTATAAATCAAATTGATCTATGAAGAAATCAATACACTAATTCAAGAATTAATAATTAAAATTATAATTAAATCATGGTCAGGTTAATCATGAATAAATTACTTTATAGAATTAGTTCAAACACTTGTTTAATGATTTATCGATTCAACCAGTGTGGTTAATCCAAATTTTAATGCAATAAATAAATAAGTTAGGCTAATAATTAAATGACAGGCTGCCTGCCTTCTTGCATAGTTGTTGGTTTGACCAGCTTTTTGATATAATTAACTGGAAGCATTTTAATTATTATAAATCAAACTCATCAATGGAGCAGTCAACACACTAACTTAAAGATTAACAGTTAAAATCATAGTTAAATCATGATCAAACTGATCATGAATAAATTATTTTATTGAATTAGTTTACTTGTTCAATGATTTATGAATTCAACCAGTGTGGTCAATCTAAATTTTAATACTATGAATGTATTAGGCTAATAGTTAAATAATTGAGTGCCTGCCTTCTTACATAGCTGTTGGTTCGACAAGCTTTTTGATATAATCGACTCGAAGCATTTTAACTTGTCCAAATTGTGATACTTTAACGGATTCAACAGTATGAATCTCACTATTTTAATATTTTTTCGTCTTTTAACACACCTATCAAATTTATAAGAAACGTCGAGAATAAGGGGTTTGGCAACAATGTCATCACAAACTTCTATAGATCTAAATATCCCGATTTTGCCTGTACTGTATGTGCATAACTTAAGGGTTAATCATACAAGGGGCAAAAACTAAATATGGTATTTCCAGTTTTCCCTTGGCCATTTCGATCAATCTTTCATAAATCACACACAAGATCTTAAATAGTACATGCATCAATATCCCTCAGCCACAAACTCAGTTTATCATGTGATTATAATTAACAAAGGGTAATTACTCCACACCCCGTTGCATGAAATGTCAATCATATATAGAGCAGAGATAAATTGATGTCAATAGGCACTCCGTCATTCACATAAGACTAATTACGCATCCTACAGAGAAGCTCAAAATTCAGCGTGATCAATATAGTGTGGGCGATCTGTCAATACTAATTAAAATAGATCCCACAATTTACCCATTAAGCATAAGCCAGTAGATAATGCAGGTCGCATCAGCTTGAAGGTGATCTTACACTAATATGCAGTAGCACTTACAACCAAATAGCAGGACACTAATCATGAGAAGTTAACGCCTTAACGGTAATGCTCTTCTAGTGTTCCTTAACCGCCCATAATTTCTTCCTACAACATTTGCTAACAACTACATGCCACAAAAACTGTGAAACGTTCAAATTTAACGGCCACGACCTCGTCCACGTCCCCGTCCCCTGCCCCGACCCCGACCCAATGGCTTTCCTGCAAATGCAATCGAAATTGATGAAATCAGAAATGATTAAATAACAAGTAACCTGTGGCAAAAGTGTTGGCATAGACAGTCTTGTCATCAAACTGAACATGGTACCACCTGCAGTAGGCTTCTTGGGCTTCACCCTGGGTGTTTCTTCAACCAGTAAAGTCTCAAGATTTAAGCTGTCAGGAAGGATATAATAACGGATGTTGTTACCCCTCACACTTAGATGATCCAAAGTCACTGGATTTTTCCCTTTCAGTGTAAGCTTAACCGTTTTCAAATGCGTATTCATGCTGATGTCTACACCTGCGGCACAAAAGTCCCAGAATCAAATTAACACTAATGCTACGTTTGGTATAAAGTGAGCATGGGAAAGTGGGTTGTTATCCTGGAAAAAAAAAAAAGAATGGAAAAGTGACATTCCTAAGAACTTATTCTCCTAACTATGGTCAGAAGGTGCATCACTAAATTTCAGCACACCAAACGCATAAGCCTATCTTTTCCTTTTCCATTCCCTTCGTGAAAAGGACTTTTCTGCATACCAAACATAAAATAATAGACACTAACATAGTCATATCAAACATAACATAAGAATAGACTAACATATTCATAGGTGATAAGACACACTGAGACAACGAAGTCTAAAGTGACCAGATGTAATTTAAACTGCCACATCATGTCTTGTACAAGTGTTTGACATAAATACGGCTCCTTTTTTAACCGTCAATGTTCCATAGGTTTAGCTAAAATTTCCAGGCTATGGTGAACTCTAATATTATATAACAAGATATTATTAGAGGAGAAAGCCCAAAGGTACAATTAAGAAGAAGGATAAGATATTCTCAGCAAAGACACTAATAAACAAGTTCTTCAGTGCAATAATGAATAATTCTCTCCAATCCTCTGCATATCTGACAATGAGATTCTCTTGTAAAACCCAAGGGCAAAGCACCAATGAAAAGCCATAAGAACCATTCTGCCATAGTTGATAACGGAGCATGGTACAATAAGAAGGATAGGATAATCTCAACATAGACCGTCATGAAGGGACAGTTAAGAAGAAGGTACCATTATGAAAAGACCAAACATGAACTGAGGTCTACACATCATCCATGCGGTCCACACCACGGGCTAAGCAGAAATGGAGGATGCAGGTCATGCTAGCGTGCCATTTGAGCAGTACATACACTTTTGGCAAAGTGCCATCAAAACCCACTAAAAACTAAGGGGGTGTTTGGTTGGAGGGGAGAGGAGGGATTTTGCCCCCCTCCCCTTGTTTGGTTTGAAAAATTGGAGAGGAGGGGAAGGGAAATTTTTAAAATCTCCCCTCCCCTCCCCTCCAAACCCTCCCCTCCAAATTGGGGGGTTGGGAGGGAAGGGGTAGAATTTTTCATACCCTGACCAATATGCCCTCCGTGATAAGTTAAAAAAAAAAAAAAACAGAAACACTTCTCCGGTATCTCAACACTAATAAAATGAGGGTAAAATTGTTCATATATAATTATTTTCCTCCTCTCCCCCCCAAACCAAACAAAGTAACATCAAATCCCTCCTCTCACCTCCATTAAAATCCCCCCCTCCCCTTCATTAAAACCCTTCCCCTCAAACCAAACACACCCTAAGTTCTATCGAATTACAGCCACCACAAATCAAGATTATAAAGCAGCCAGAAAAATACAAGCATTTTAAAAAACATTAAGTTTACAGCAGCTATGAGGCCACTGGACCCGCTGTTACAAGGGTTTATGCCCCAAGGAATAGGATGAGAAAGGCCTCTGCTGGACTTGTTACTGTTACGCCTGCAGAGGTGGCTCACATGCAAGCGTATTTCAGGAGTGAAGCTTGACATACAGTTAAAAGGGCAGAAAAGGAAATAGGTTCAGAGTAACTAGCTCCTGCACTTGCCACACATGAAAGCTGAGATGGAGAGAGGAGGTAGTTCGTTAGTTGAAGAGTAATAAGGATCCTAGGAGTGGAGAAAGTAACCAGAGAATTTTGGACTAAATTTGTGGAGAAATCTTGCCTCCTGAATTGCTAGAGGTCTTTCTTGTTTTCCAGTGTTTTGAGACCGGACTAGGCAGGATGGTTAGACTGATCTAGATGTCGACCGGTGAAGAGAGCAGACAGTTTCAAAGCTTCAGACCACTTCAATGGTCAGACTGGGATGGGCCATTCAGGACCAGGCTTTGGACTGGGAACCAGAACAGGTTGTGGAGAACAAGACGGGCTTCATCTTCTTCCCCTTCACACATTCCATGCCACCATCTTTTTCCCTCAACAAGCTCCATGCTTCCATCTTCTTCCCTCTGCAAGTTCCGTTGTCCCTCCACCAATGTTTTGAAAGCCAGAATGGGAGGTTTGGAGGAGTGTGCTGGAGTGAAGGAATATATAGGTATCATGAAAAAGTACAGGTATAACTGCATGATGCATGGCTAAGATTTTCACTTCTCAAGGAGACAACCGTAGGGGCAAAGCAGTGGAAACTCAGCATCTCATCAAATGAGGTGCACTACTACTGGAGGTGTTATTGAAGCTGGGCAGTGGGAAAGTGGAGCATTCTGGGCATAAAAATAGCAGTCTAACATATGTATTAATATTAATATATGTATCAGTACCACAACATAAATTATGCGTGTACACCAAAGGCCAAAAGATAGCCATCAAGAGTATAAAGGCATTTACGTAACTTATAAAGCAAGCTTAAATGAGTTGTGTCTGTGAGCAACACTTGTTAAGGACTAGCATCAGACATGGCATAATACTTTCAAAACTAGGACTAAGGTGTAAAAATACCCATAAAATATTTTGCGAGGAGCTACTAGTGTCCTTAACTCAAGTATGGTGTAATTTTACCTATCAATCCTTAAAAAAAGGGTGCAAAAATCCCAAACATGCATTAAAGACTTGACGTTCGTTAAGTAAGGGTCGAGTCCCACATGCTATGCCATATGTAAATGGGTTAGGAACAAAAATATCCATAAAGTAGCACAATATGGTGCAATCTTGCCCATCAATCCTCAAAATGGTGCAAAAACATAAATACATGATGGATATTTTTATCCATAGCCCATTTTTGCATGGCAAACATGTGAGACCTGCAATCCTTACTTAACAAACATTACTGATTTCACCACAGCAGCTTGCTCAAAATCGTAATAAACAATTTTTAGTTAATCATCGAGATTGAAAGAGTCAATTCAAATGCAATATTTCTTTTCTAAATTTTATATTTCAGAAAGAAATATTGCATTTCAGAAACAGAAACAGAAACAGAAACATTAAAGAATTTTAATTAAAGAAAGCCAATTCCAAAACAAAATGAGGTCAATTTTCTATTGAACAATTCAAAACATTAAAAAATGTAACCTTTTACTTATACCTCCATTACAAATTGGAAAGTTTTGCACCATTTTTTACCCGGACGCAGATCATAATTCATAACACTAAGTGTAAATTTCAAAATTTTCAAGGTTCACAAAAACCTCAACAAATTAGCATGTTCAAGATTAGAAAAAAAAGAAGTCCAAAAGAATGAGAAGAAACCTGTAATGGTGCCATGAACAACAGTACCATTCTTCAGCTCGATAGATACAGTTTCATTGTTTAACTTCATTAAAAACCTGCTCAAATCTTCATAGTCAGATTTAGTCCCAAAAGAAAATAAAAACAAGAAGCCTTATCCCACCAAAGGAAGTTGGCTCCCTAGATGGCACAGCACCATCGTACTCTATCAGGCCAAAAAAGAAAATAACAGTAAAAAAAAAAAAAAACAATATCACAAACAAAGATATAGAGAGACCTGACGAGCTTCATGGCGGGCGAGGAAGGATGAGAAAGGCTTAACTTCAGCAAAGCAGAGACCAGTGGATGTGGGGGTTACCCTCCCTTTTCTCTGTAAGACCACCATACAGAATATTTCATGAACTGATATCAATTAACATTCTAGCACTAAGACTACCGACAACAAAGAAGCATGCTCATGTATGAAATGCATTTCAAGCTGGAACAATGGTTATTTTATGATGACCAGTTTTTTTTCGAGACCCGGTTGAATTTAAACAGGAAAAGGAAAAAACAATGTTACAGCTTCGCCGTAATACTTATTAATATACATTTGGACTTGATTCCATCGCCGGAATGATTCTAAAATGTGAAAATTCGTCCCACTCAATATGAAGCGTCTATCATTATTCATCAAACACAATCCGAATCAACACAAACCCGTCACTTAGATGTGGCAATCCGCTTTAAGCAGTTCGAAAATCGCAATTTCTCTTCCAGTGACTAAAAGTCCACTTTACGCGACATATACGTAAATTGTTTGCTCAAAAACGACAAATATGTGAATTGAGGAAATTAAAAGAATAAGGATGCCATACTGAAGGAGGAAACGTGAGAGAAAAACGACGAAGGTGGGCGAGACGCGGCGGCAGGCAGTAGGGCACGCGAAGATATGCGCCGGGACTCTGGTTCTACAGCTACAGTGTCACACCCTACGGGTTTATGGGCAACACCACGATTCGAAATTTTTCGTTGGGGATAATTTTGTCTTCCAACTGGTTTCAATTTCAATTAGCGTTCAATTCAATTCAAATTCAAATGTATATAGAAATTTTTAAACAACCAATAAAACATTATTTAGATTTTATTTATAAAAAAGTTTATATATTTAAACTTTGTATACTCAAGAAATCAAGATATCACTTGATTGGGTCTTCTTTTAAATATATGTACTAATAGTAATGAATAAATTGTCTTTTAAAAAAAACTCCCTTCATTAACAAATGTAAAATATTTTTTAAAAAATTAGATGTTAAAAAATATAATATATTTTTAGTTTTTTGAGATGTAATCATTATCTTTTTTTTTAAAGTGCCTTTATTGATAACGACTTTATATTTATTGTAGAGTATTTAATAGGGATGAATATGAAAAGATAGAGTTAGTTTAAAAGTAGATAACTATTTTATTGAGAGGTAAGATTTAATTAAAAATATCTTACATTTTTTAAGAGAAAAAGTATCATTTTTCAATAAACTTAGAACAGGTGCTATTTTTTATGCATCAATTACTATTTCACCCGTTTTTGTATTAAGATTTGATGATTTGAAACTTATTTTAAAGTTAAAATTCAAATATTCTAATTTAATTATTTTAAAAAAGGTTAAAGTACAGTTTATTTTAAATACTCTAATTTTAACTGTTAATTAATTAAAAAATGACATAAAAGAAGTTTAAAAATTATAAAAAATAATAAAAAATTATGACAAAAATTTAAAAATTACAAAAGAGATTGAGCAAATTTTTTTGTTCTTTTATATGATGTTGATGTTTTTTTAATCATTTTATAATTAACTAATAATTAAAATTAATTTTTATTATTAGTGAAAATGACATTTTATCATTTTTAAAAATTAAAGAATAATTTTGTATCAAAAATAAGTTTAGAGTTTTTTACACTTCTAAATCTATAATTTAAGAGTCAAATTATTATTTAATCCTTTTAAAAAAATATCTTCTATGAATTGAGTACCTAATTTTTTTATTAATTTTAAATTTTAAATTTTAATATATAATAATTTTTAAAAAATTTGTTTTTTACAAAATGATTGGCCTAGTTTCTTTTGATTGGGTTGTTCAAAATGCATCTAAATCAACTAACTTATTAATAGTTATTTCGTTTTTTTAATTTCTGTTTTGGATAATGTATGATTTTTTTTTAATTACTGTAATTAAACCCTTAGTTTCATGCTTCTTAAAACTGGCAGCCAACAAGAGTATCTGTTACATTACCAAGGAGCATTTGATCCAATTGATCAAGAGAGTTGAATTAGTTTATCTTGAGATTTTAAATTCCAATCTTAAAATATCTAATCATGTTAAATAAATATGTTAAAAGTATTATCAAGATATTCATGAAGCTCCAAGTGATGGAACCCAAAAATAAAAAAGAATGTCCGTTGCATTGGATCAGTGCAATAACCACATTAAAGGTCAAGAATCAGCAATAGAATGAAACAGAAAATTGTAATCATAGTAAATATAATCAGAAGCCTTGGATAATCAGAAGTATTGTTTTTTGAAGCAGATTCATATATTGTTTGCGTGTATCATATAATTGCGTGTAACTTATAATTGGTTCACGAAATACTGAAATATACCAGGGAGGGGAAAATGGAATTAAGCTGCAGCATTAGCCGATTAGCATGGAGATTTTTTTCCAAAAAGCCAACACAGCTCTATAGTGGATAAGTGGTAACAGTCATCATCTTTAGGATTTTGACCTCAAAAAGCATATTCTTAATTCCTAAGTCTGTCTGAAGAAAATATACATCCTTATAGGACTGACTTTGCATATCTGTACCAAAGTGTAACATGTTAAGATTGGTTCACTAGTATAAAAATATTTTTCATCATAATTAAAATGCATTTTTGGCATCAAAAGATGTTGTGTAGTAGAAAATTATGTGATAATAAATTGACATTTTTTGCCACAAGTCAAATAGAATTATGGCAAAAAATGATATTTTTTTGTCGTAGGTCCCAACTCACTTGTGGTGAAAAACCAGTGGCAAAAAAAATCATCTTTCACCATAGGTTTCATTTCACTTGTGTGAAAAATAGTATCGGCTAATGATAAAAAAAATCATCTTTTGCTACAAGTTCCAACTCACTAATGGCAAAAAAAATAGCATTTTTTGCCATATGTCCAAGCTTCACTTGTGGCAAAAGATGCATTCAAAGGGAAGGAGATGCATTTATGGTGACATTGTTAGATACATCTTTTACCATAGTTATTGTTATAACTATAATCATAAATACTATATTTTTTTTTAGAGAATCATTTATAACTATATACATCCCTTACTTACAAAACCTGCATTAATACATAAATAGCAACTCTAGAGCTTAGTAAAATACATTTCGTACAAATATATAAACTAAAAATCTATATTTTCAATACAAATATCTAAAAAGTTTTTACTCTAATTCTATTAATTTTGAGAAATAACTAGACTAAATATTGCGTATATGTCTCAACTTTTATTTAGAATATGGCTCTAAACTTTGAAAGTACTGCAAATACATATGAATAATAATTCAAGTATACAACAAACTTCATAATTATAAATTATTATTAACAAATTATCACCTGATCAAATGAGTAAATAATATCTTGAGTGATGATTTCATACATAAAATTCATCACATAATAACCCTACTTTACACTTCCTAGTTGTTGAGAATACTAAAAAATAAAAATAATTAAATTTATTAAATTAATATTATAATCTTCATTCTAATTAGGAAATAAATTTGAAATACTTACTTGCATTTGTCGTAAATGTTACATTAAAATGATCAAATTTAGGATGAAGGAGCTATCATTTTTTATGAAGATATATTTTTATTTTTTCTTCAAATTTTAATTATTTATTTTTAAGACATATTTAATATGTCAGATTTTTTTAAAAAAATTAATTTTATTACTTTTAAAATTTTATTAATAAATACTACATAAATCTAGCTATTATTTCATAATTGTGTCAAAATTAAGACACATTTAATTTATCTTAATTTTGATAAAATTATTTAAAATTCATTCAAATTTATTTTAATAAATTATATTTTTATTTTTTATTAATTCTTTTTAAAGATGCCAATTCAATCCTAGCAATGGGTTTTAATCCATAGTTGGACCTGTGGTGACTAGCATCCTGAGGCCTACCGTCAAAGGTCTAATTGAAAGTTTCAAAACCTTTAACTTAGTAACTTATAGTGACAAGTCCCATTGGGTTTGTCACTATATTTTTGATATACGACGACAAGCCCAAAGACACTTGTCATCATAGTTACTAAGCTGGGGGTTTTTGTAACCCTCAACTCAAACCTTTGGCAATAAGCGTAAGGATATCTGTTACCAAAAGTCCAATTGAGAGTTACAAAACTATAATTGGGATTGGATTGGCCTCTCCAAAAAAAAAAATTATTTAAAAGAATTTGAACATCAATAATTTTGTCAAAATTAACACACATTTAATGTGTCTTAATTGAGACACAATTATGAAATAGTTTATATAACTTATTAAATACTCTGGCACTTCAATTACTAATTAATTTAAAATTTAAATTAAATATGTTAAAATTGAAATTTATTAATTAATAAATTATTTTAATAATTAATATAACTTATTAAATAAAATTAATTTAATATGTCTCATTTGAGACATAATTCATGTATCTTAAATATTACTCAATTAATAGAAAATATTTAAGACTATAATTACTAATTTTATTTGATTTAATTAATTTTTAAATTATATTTTGAAACGTGTTAAATTAGACACATTTATGATGACAGCTTTGTTGATAACTATTGCCATAAATGATCTAATTTTTTTTTATTACATAAGTGCCATTGAGTCTACTACCATCATAATTTCTTGACAAATTGTGATAAAAAATAAGTTGTTAAAATTTAATTTTGTACTTGTAATTTCATTGTTTCATCATCATCCCACCACATGACTTTTTAATTTGGTTCGATAACCTTTCATATACTCTGTGTGTGTGTGTGTGTGTGTGGGGAACAAACAAGGAGAAGAAGTGGAGAAGTGACTATCTATCTATATGGATTGATGTTGAATATTTTCATATGGACTTATACATGACTGTTGATGATCAGCCTGAGAAGTAACGGAGTACCAAGTCCAATGACGGCCTTAATGGGAGTGCAGCCTTGGTGGCCTTGCAATTAGCAGTAATCACCGACCTAAACCCAACAACTAATGATCGTGTGGCAATGCTGAAAAAAGCAATAACAACAATCAAAAATTGAAAAATAAAAAGTTCCTGTAACCAATATGTTTATATTATTCTTAAACTCCAACCACTCATTCTTGGCCGTGACAATCATAAAAATGACCTACGAACAAAAAAAAAAAAAAAAGCAAGATGGCCAATGTCGATATTAGTAGTGCACCCACAATGACTCTAAGCTATTAGATAACCGAGCATAATCAGACTCTATGGCAACAAAATTTAGGAAATTGACATTATATCACGTGGCAGAAATTTTCCCTCATCATCATTTTGCTCTTACACTAATTAACCCGTGAATCGTGTACTGTACGCGAGCGATACAATTGCCATGCACAGGGTTCCCACAGACACTAGTGCTTTCATATAAGATAGTGCTCTTGGTGAAGTCAACCGATTAGAGAATCCGCACCGTTTATAAATCACCCGCATGGATATAGAAATGATGGCACCGGAAGTCATGAAGGGAATCAGTGTAGTAATAATGACGTGTTTTCACTCTGTCACTAGAAAGGTCGATGAGGCCAACCTTGTTGCTGCTAATGCCACCGGCGATTATTCTGATACAAAGACATGATACTGATACAGAGAAGGAGAGGACAAGAATATCACAGACGAACAGAAAACAAGAAGAAAATTCCCTTCCCAAGGATTCATCGACCACTCCTAGTACTAGTATTGCATATAGAACTTGCAAAATCCTCTGTGCCATCTATAAAGAACACGAGTGACACAAAA